CCTGACATTGCTTCAACTATTTTTAATAAACTATTAATGTAATTGTTTTAATTAATGTACTATATTTTATTTATTGATGTTAATAATAAAAACAGTATTCGCTAACGCTAAATTAAAATTTAGGATCGACATTGATGTTACATAAAAAAAAAATTATAATAGACTTTTATATGATACCATTTATAGTTTTGATTTACATAGTTGACAGCCCACCTACCTGCTTATGTATGATTATTAAAAAATGCATGCGTGATCTGTTGTATGACAATCTGATTGTTTGTATAAACTATAAAAGGGAGAATGTACGACTTTTTCCTACACTTTTGTTCAAAAATAAATAACAATAACCATGTTTGATAATATTCCTCTTCCATTAGTCGAAGAAGTCAACCAATAGATCCCAGATAATGTTAATGCTTTTTTAGCGTCTCACAAAGAAAAGCTATCTCTTAGGGATCAAAGACCTTAAAATAATTCAAGACAACTAGATTCGTGGTTCAACCTTCCTTAAGTTAAATTTGGATAAACTTATGTGAGCTGGGTTAAAACTGGGACCAGCTGAAACCATTGCTGGACTTATTGAGAAAATCAAGGGTGAAGGAGAGGGTAAGTAGTACCACGACTGCATTCAAATATTCCAAACCTATATTGCTTTTTCCGTATCTCATAAACTTATAGTCATCGTAGGACGCATTGCAACTAGAAAGCTTAGTATACTATTTAATGTTTTACTAACTTGTTCTTTTTTCACATTTCTAACCCTCATTTCTTCCTTCCATTATTCGTGATATTCCATTTTCTCTGTGAACGACTGCATTCGAATATTCCAAACCTATACTCATTTATTAACTTGTGCCGTAACAGATGATGGACCGCCGAGAAAACGCCCAAGGTTAATCGAAGGTATGCTATAATCAGTTTTGTTTTTATCCAGAACTAAATTTGAAATATCTGTATTCTATGCCAAACTCATAATATTCATCTAATCAATTGTCTCACTTTTTATTACAGCTCTCGATGATGAACAGGTTTTTGATGATTCAACAGCTATGGGTTGGACTGACCAGGAAAAAGGTAAGGCTTTCTGAAATTCTTATTGTTTAATAGCTATTATTATTGATTAAAAAAGATCTTATATTTATTTATAAATCAAAGATACCAGTAAAGCATTGCTCCAAGGTAAATAAATTTTGATGACAAATTTCTAAAACATTCAGAAAGATTGATTATTGCTAATTTTTCTTGTGGTAAAAGTTATCCCAAACGTAATTGTAAAAGGCAGATATTCACCGGGTGAACCGGATTTTTTTTAAATTCGTTACATCAGGCGTTTTTGTGGACAAGTCACTTTTCATTATAGAATTTATGATATATAGTGAACGGGCTATACTTATTACTCACCCCGTCAGTTTGGCAAATCTACAAACCTTTCAATGCTTTATACCTTTCTCAAACCGGTGCCGGAAAAAGGGAAAGAACAAAGGCTGGCACTGTTTAAAGGCCTCAAAGTCGCACAATTTGATTGGTTTATGAAGTTGCACTTAGGCAATTGGCCTGTCATTTATGTTAGTTTTAAGGTAAGCAAGCAATGATACCACTCTTCCTTTTACTAGATGACTAACGAACCTATTTTTACTAGGATCTTAATTATAAGTCTTGGGAATCAATGCTAAATTCCATCAGAAAAAGAATATCAGACCTTTATAAAGAACATAGTTATATTCTTGATAATAAAAAGCTTCGTGAATATGATGAACCTTTATTTAAAAATATTATTAATGGAACAATTAAGGAGTCAGATTTAATGGATGCTCTCTCCGATCTAGCACGCCATCTCCATAACTACTTTGGCAAACAAACTATTATTCTCATTGACGAATATAACTGGCCGATGGAATACGCAGAAAGTTTTTACAACAAAGCTGATATTTTTTTTAAATGCATGTACTCTAGCATTGCGAAGATAAACTGTTCTTAATTGTTACTTAGTGTATATAGGGTCTTTCACATTAAAAGGGCCTATTTTGCAAATTTTTTGAAAAATGAGTTTTTATTAGATTCATGTAAATTTTAA